AATTCAAAAGTTTTTAAAATTTTCTCTCAAATTTGCCGGCTTAAATTATCCAGAATTGAAAGATTATATACCAGTTAGAATATAATAATTTTCCCCTCCCCATGAAAATTTCTAACAACGTTCTGGTCTAAGCCATAAAACTACTACATATGGGAATAATTATATATGCATAAAAAATAAGCAGACAATTTACTGATAACTGACTTCACTGAAAGTAGAAGGGACAAGCAAAAGTAGGCACGAGTATAATAATTAAATGTACAGATTGTACGTAAGAAGATGCAGCTGAATAATAAAAAAAATTAACGAGGAGGAACGAGAAACGAGGCTCATAACCGTAGAATTCACAGAGAGAAGAAATCACGAATTAAATATTATTTCGACTTTCAGACGGGCAAAAGAGATCGATAACAGCATTGGAGAAAAGATAATGGATTCATTGACCATAAAGAGGTAGAAAGAAAGAAAAAATTCAACAAGGTTTTAGGGTTTCTGGACCCTCCTTGATCGAACAGAAGAACATAGAATAACGAATAACAATAGTATATAGCTAAATACATACATGCAAATAAACAATTCAGAACAAATCGGAATTAGAAAAAATAAACAGCAAAGTACCCACGACAAATCGATAGCCCAACTTTCAGTGTGGACGAGACTATGCACAATAGCCTGCCGACTGTGTAAGCTCCCGGCCCTGCCCAGCTTCGGCATGAGACTCGGCGATACCAACTTCACCTGAAACAATTTTCAAACACTTCAAACAGTGAAAATCTTCCAACCTTACACCATTGGAAACAACAGACAATTATAGAAATAGAAAAGGAAGAAGACGGATTGGTACATCGGAAAGCCTGGCGGGGCGATCGGGGACCTGAAGATCGACGGAGGGATCGTAAGGGAGGGAAATGGCGCCGCTAAGCCATCGAGAAGCGACGGAGTCGCCGAGCTCGGCCTTCTCGTAGGGATCGGAAGTATTGAGGACTCGCAGCGCCGCTTCCACCAAGGTCTCGTCTCCCATCTTCCTGCTTCTGCTTAAGCTCCCGCCTCTTCTTCCATGGCCGCAACTTCAGGAAACTTCGTAATCTCAATTCTTATACAACAATGAGTAAAGAAGCGTGATGGGCTGAAACTGGACTGGGCCGGCAATATGGCCCATTTTAGGTTGAAACCTGGGCCGAGCGGGAGGATTTAAAGTGTGCTGGGCCGAACTTCTAAAGCCCGTTTCAGGTGTTGGGCCCTTGGAGACATCTGATTTCTAGACTCAAAAAATCCTTTTTTTTTTCCTTTTTATTATTTGAGAAATTCCTCAAGTTGACACCCAAAAATTAATTTGAAGACAGATTTTACTCCATATCGAATTAATATTGTTTTAAAAAATATATATTTATTTTTCAAAATGTGACTTCTTTTGGTATATTTTACCTTAAGAGTATGAATTAGACTGTTATTTTTGTCAAATTTCAAATACTATGTTCAAAAACACATATTTATTTTATGATATTTATATAAACGCCTCTAATTTTAATATAATATTTTAGTGTAAGTAAATTTAAATATTCATTCCGATAGTTTTCCAAAATATAAAATACTCTTTCTTTTTTTTTTTTGTATAATATTACAATTCAAACGAATGCGTCATTTCCATATAAATATTTTATAGTTGGATTGCCTTCTATACGCAAGGTGATTTAAGTTGTCAAAATATTTTATATTTGCATTGAGTTGGACTAATTCATTATAGCCTAAGGTAATTTAAGTTCATTAAGAAAATAACCACTCGAACAACTCTTTGTTTAGTAAAATTTTCACTGATATGTTGTTGTATTAAACACGGACAATTACTAGTATAATGAAAAAATGCAAATTCAGATCGAAGTAAATCTTTTTCATACCTTTTACTCCAGAAGATTTATGGAAGACTAAAATTTTAATATTAAAAAATTAAGGAAAGTATGCTAAATAGCATAAAATAAATATATGTTTATAAAAATATCATCACTTATGATTTTTTTTCCAAAAATGTCACGAAAATAGTTTTTAGTTGGTTTCATGTGATAATATAAATTTGTAATTTCTATCATTTTGGTAAATTTTTAAACACAATGCTATATACATAAATACGTATTCCTTTGTGCTATTTTTGCAATTCCCTCTCAAATTAGTTAAATATTTGTCTGTATTTAAAATTTATCAAACCACTAGTTAAAAGTACTCTTTAGAATTTTTAACCATACTGCCATTCATAAAGAAATAAAATAAATAAAAAAATTACAAAAAGTAGCACAAAAAGAATATAGTTCAAATTTTTTCCCTTAATCAAGAATTATACAGAAAAATCGCTTTTTTCGAAACACCTTAGAAACACACCCTAATTATAAAAAGAATATTTGTCGACGTAAACATTTTTATCCTACGGAGACTAAAATGAACCAAGGTTGAGAGCACATAGACCAAAATATTATTTTAACCTATATTTGTAATAAAAATAAAAAACGGCAAAAAGAAAAAATATATATTTTTAATTTCGAAGGTCAAGGCTAAATTTCTTAAGCTAGGGATTTTGGTGTTAGATGAAAACGACATTCATTTGGAAGGGAAAAAAACAAACTTTGTATTATCCGCCGCTTCTCGAGACAACGACTACTACTACTACTACTTCTTGATCCGCCTCGCTCGTCTTTTCTCTCTTCCCCAACATCACAAAAATGTCAGAGGAGACCCCAAAATCCCCCCTCCCCCTCAACTGGTTCTCCTTTCTTCCCAAGTTCCAGTTCCGATTGCCTCTTCCGGTCTTCGACGCCAAGAAACCGCCGGCTGCGGTGGTCGACGAAGGCCAGAACCAAGAGGCCTTGGCCAACGACGACGCTCGGAAGCCGGAGTTTGTGAGGTTTCCTAAGGCGGACGTGGCCGTCGCTTCGGTGGAGGCTGAAGCCGATATCTCCGGCAAGACTTCCAATCCCGCGGTTATCTGGCAGGTTTGAACTTCGGTTTTCGGTTTGTTTTTTGGGAAACAGAACTTGCTTCTATATTGCACCCGTGGTGTTTGTGGATTTGACTCAACTAAGAAATAGGAATGATTGTGTTGTTCAGCCTAATCTGTGCTTATACTTGATTAGTTTAGCTAATTGGCTTGTTTGGGAGTTAAGAGGTTTGTTCTCTAAGTCATTGGGTTGAGTTTTCCGGCTGAGCAAATAGAATTTTACAATTTACAAGTCTAGAAGCCTAAATGCAACACAGACTTGAATTTTTCCAACTGTATCAGTATTTTACTATCCCAACTAGCTACTATCAATTAAGTTATCAATACTAGTTCCTTGGTAGTCTCTTCAAGTTGCTGTTGAACAGCACTGTTGCATTTCTCTTCTGATAACCGAGGATTTGAAAGTATCTTTAGAGGAGAGAAATAGAAGTAGAAGAAAATGGGAAGAGTGATGAGAGGGAGGAGGAAGTTCAAAATGGACAAGGAAGAGGAGGGGGCTCCTGCTGGTGTTGCTATATATTCAAGAATCCATTCACTTAAAAGTTCACTTTATATCCATGCTCTATATTTTTCTGTCTATGGAATTGGAAACTTGTTAGAGCATCAATCATGAACCAGCTATTTAAAAGTTTGATTAGATCAAGATATATGAACGGGCCACGAAAATTTTTAGTACCAGAGTTGTTCATAAAGGAGAGAATCCTTATCTAATTCTTTTACTTGTTTCTATCATTGGCATTTCAGCTATTATAACTCTTTGCTTGCAACATGAATCATTTCATTTGCATTAGGTATATGCTCTGGGAGGGTTTCTAATTTTGAGTTGGGCATGGGCAAGATGGAAGGAGAGAAGGCCACAAAGACGTCCAAATGACGATGAGGACGATGAAGATCCCAGCAATATATAGTTTTGTGTTTGCCATGAACAGTCCTTACTCCTTAATAAATGTTAAAGTTAGTCACATTTTTAGAGCTAGAATCTGTTTCGGAAGTTAAATATCACAGTCATTTCCAACCCTTTGTTGATTCTTGAACATGATCTTCATATTAAATTAAATGTGTCTCCTTGAGGTTGGTTGGTGCAAAGGAAAAATATTTGATGTTAATCAGAGGCTGCTCTTCTAAACAAACGAGGTGTTGGATCTGTGTATAATTTCAAGAAAAGCTTAGTTGCACTAAGGCCTCTCCTTGTCTAATCTACCAATATACTGATATATTTCACATTTTAATAGTATTCAAATGCAGATTCATGTACAGATGTTGAATATCGAACTTATCTGGAGCCATGATAAGCACCATTTCTGCTGCCCCCTTTGGCAGAAAACCATCTTCTTGAGGTTATAGCCTCATTCATTTGAAGAGGGTGCTCTGAGTAAAGAAATCAGTTAAATAAAGCAGTTGTGAGAAGTGGATAAACTATGAAATGCTGCTTACGCCTTATATACCGGATCCCCCTGCTAGAAGATACGAAACGAAGTTATATCGAGTATGGCACTACATACATGAAAAAACAGTATTTGGAAGAGAGGGTCAAATGAAAAATAATAGAGAACAAATGATCAAATTTAATAGAAAGCCAGCAATAGTTTTATTCCCGTCGATAATCACAAAAGTACTTGCTGGTAAAAGAATGATACATCTTGTGTCAAATATGTACAGAGACCAATTTATGCAGGAATCAATCAGTTCCTAATAAGCTATCCACAAAAGTTGTTTATCGACCACTAACTAAGCCAATTTTCCGTGTAGCTGTTCAAATATGGTGTCTTGATTTACCAGCTAACTCAACACTCTATGTACACCATTCTGAGACCCTTTCCTAATATCTGGGGTCCATCAGATGCGGCTAGTTCTGCGAATAAATTAATGGTATTCTTTTTAAGAGCAAGGAGAAAATTGGTTCGTACTGTTCGTCCGACTTAGAGACTGTGGAAAAGTTGTCACTCCGGCTTGAAATAACCGTCATATATGGATAGTTGGTCAAATGCATCAAAATTAGCCTTTAGTCCGATAAATTGGCTGCCCAAATGAGCACAACCAGCATCAGGCCATCGGCATCCTCCATCCCGGGTGCGCAATGGACAAAGTGCCTCACATACGTGACTGAGAGGGTTGCTTGGCACATCATCTGCCGTTACTGTGATAGAAACGGCAAGGTCTTTCTCATCAGCAACAGGCAGTGAACGATCTGAAGTTCTCCTTGAAGCAGGATGACTTCTCTGTTTGGATTTCATTAGATCGCCCTCAATGTCAACAGTACAGTAACCATTACTAGAGACTTGAACTTTGCAACCTAGAGATTGAATTGCTCTCTTTATGGCTTCACATTCTTTGCTTGCACTTTTTGCAACATTCCTAGCTGAAATACTCAACTGTTTCTCAATATACAACTCTGCTTTTAACGATTCCATGGCAGCTGTCATCTCTTGAGCTTTCCTATCGGCTATTTCCTTTTCCTATTAGACAGTTTATGGTATGCAAGAATCAGTCAGGTTGACACCTGAGTACAACAAAACAATGTACACGAACGATGTCCATACATAAAAGAACATTCACAAAAACGTCAGCTTCAGCAAATATGAATCAACTAAATCTCTAACAGCTACTTCTGCCTTTCCTTTTTTTTTTTTAGTGAGAAAAGAAAACTTTCGACCCAAAACAATAGACATGGTATATGAATCTAAAAGGATAACAGTGAGATCGAAGTAGAAGCATATAAATGCCAGTAATTAGACGACTATAGAATTGTTCAATGAAGTGAGAGGAAGTTGCATGGCAACAGAGGAAAAAAAATTTTATAAGTAATCAGTTCTTATGCAGAAGAGAAAACTTGTTTGGAAAGAGAATTTTTTAAAACAGTTTTCAAAAAATTAAAAATACACAGCATAAAACAATAACTGTGCTTAGTTCTTTTCCTGTGTTTTCTTTAGTGTTTTGTGGGTTAATTTAATATAACTTTATTTAAATGTGTCATATTGTTAATTTAAACAAAATTACTCCCACAAACCGCATTTTGAATTGAATACAATATTTGCAAAACAGTTTTTAAAAACAAAGTTCAATAACAACATACAAACAAAGTACTAAACTTCTTCAGTGACTCGTACCTAGAGTTTCGGACATTTATTCATTGCCCAAGTATAAAATAAGGACAATACCTTCTGCAGTTCAGAGAACTTGATAGCCATTTTCCTGCATCTCACTTCAAGTTCGCCCGCTTGAGATTCAGAAGGACAAGCCCAACGAAGATGGAACTGAGGCCAGAGAGTTGGAGCTAGAGCTGCTGCAGGAGGTAAGAGAGCGCCATCATGTTTGGTTGGAATCGTTGGATCATAGAAAAGGTTATAATGCACATGTGAACTTCCTTCCGAAGCTCGTAAATCAGCTAAATATGCCCATAGACAGCCACATACTTCAGAAATAGCACATTGCTGCCGCTCCTTCTCACTGAGAAATCAGAAAAAATCATTCACCAAGTCCCTCCAACTATTGGTATTGTTAGTGTTTAAGAATGGTAACCGAGTATAGTAAATCACAATTTGAGATTTAAGAGGAAAGGTAAGGAACGAATAGCATGGGCCTGTTTGGTAGCTTTCTTTGGTTTCTATTTTTTGTTTCCTAGTTCTAGTTAAAAACAAATACATTAAATAATATCCTATTTCTAGTTTTTCATTTTTCATAAACATTTCATTAATAGAAGACAAGCATTGAGAACATGACAATTCCAAACAGACTTCCAGCTACCGATTCTGCATCTCCCATTTACACTGGAAATAGAATACTACTCCAAGATAGACATACATATCTTGTCTTAACAGTTCTAATCACTCAATGATGATCTTTATCTACATACAGTAATTAAACAGGTAACTTATAGCTGAACTCATCACAACAAGAGATCAATCTAATCGAAGGAAATTACCAATTGCACAAGAAGTTTCCAAAGCGACAGGAAAGCATACAGTCCAATAGATCCACCAGGAATGCCTAATAGAAAACTCAACAGGTCAACGTGTTAATCATGTAATGCCAACTAAAAGCAAAGAATAACTTCCTCATAAAAGAGAGAAATAAAAACTATTCCAAGTAAAAAATCGAGTTGCATCTAGAAGGTTACTTACAGAAGAAAACTCAAAAGCAAAGGGATACATGCGCAGAAGTTGTGAAACACAATCAACCCACTGCAAACAATCAAGTAATATTATATTAATAGGCAATACAGTTTCAGGCAGGATTAAAATGACAACGATCCCTTCCCTTTGCACCTAGCAGAAGTCCCATCACTATATTGAATGAACCACAAACCTGTAAAAATATGGGAGAACAGTTGTTTGAAGTTTGTGGATGGGGAGGACTGGATGCTGGAGATGTGAATGATCCCGGTGGCTGACGCATAGGTGAAGATGAAAAACTTCCAGTAGAAGACTGCCGAGCGAGTTGCAAGTTACCACTTCCCGATACGGTTGGCATGCCAGCTCGATCTGAGAAAGGATGACCAAATGCCAGCCAATCCTTTTCAATCAGTGCCTGCATATAGGATACACATTAAAATCGGATGGATGATTAAATAACAGCTATGATAGAGCTAAATCAAGAAAAGTCTATGCAACCGTCTAATAATTCCAGGGATAGGATAAAGCGATCCACTCATGCTATATAAAGAGAAATATAAACCAAATAAGTTGAAATAAAATAAGGGGGAAGAGTTTTTTTATTAAAAAGATAGAACATATCCTACGATTTTAAATAAATCAATTATTAGAGTAATGAAGAAAAATAAAAATAATACCCACGGAGGTACATAATGTCCAACAGATTACCTGAAATCCAGTGAACGTCCGATAATAAGGATCAAGTAGCAAGCTAGCAAGTGAAACCAGTTGTGTTGTTCTGTCCCAGCCATCACTATGCAAAGAATGACACAAGTAGACGGCAAGGTAATTTTTTTGAGCAACAGTTCCAATCCAAAATAACAACATAGATATATAATTTATTGCAGTTACAAACTAAAAGATAAAATATCAATTAGTTCATACCTGCAGTGAACCAGAACCGTTGCATCTTCCAAAGCAACACGTGCAGCAATCCATGCTGAACCAGCCAAGACGCTTTGAACATGGATTAACCAGCCACTATCTCCAAGAGTTGATACAGATGCAGACATGCTACTAAGATTACCTCCACCCCAAGTCCATCCACCATGTCTCTGCGAATGTATAAGTAAAAATTCAAAGTAAGGGAGAGAGAACTACAAGTTCAGATGCAATCTTAAAAATTCCTCCATTATGTTAACCCTACTTTTTGACATGCTTACACTTAAACAATTTCAGGCTTGTCGGAAGGACAAAAACGAAATCAAAGTTTTACAAATGTTGCGAATTGAGAGGGAGGGAGGGCATGCTTAGACTTATAGATTTTCCAGTTGATTGGAAAAGAAATGAATC